TCATAGACCTCTAGTCGCCACTGAACCATCAGATGACAAGGGCCTCAGCGGTAAGACCATCAGAAGAACTACCAGGATCACTAATTCATGGAATCATGATCACGAGAACTAAAAAAACCATTATGGTTTGTGGTGGCTGGTTATGCAGTAATAGAAAATGGATATACAACCTCAGAGAAATGTTCTAGAGCTCCTCAAGAAAAACTCATGATTCTTTCTTTTGAGCTTTGTTCATTTTTTCTACCATAACACATAGCTCATATAATTATTGGTCTACCTGTGTCTGTTTCTTTCATTAGATTAACAGCTTTCGAAAAGCAGAGACTAGGTTTTTACTCGCCTTTTCATCCCTGTGACTACTCTAGTGCCTGGTATATAGCAACCGTGGACATTTATTACCCAGGTTATATGTATTCCATTTCCTCAATGGCTTTCACTTGCCTTCTGTGACTCATGGGCAGTCATACGTAAAATTGTTCACGTCCTCATCATTTTCAATTAATATTCCCTTCATCTTCTTGTTCTTCCTTCAATGGCCCTGGTTTCCTGCAGTCCTCTAAGGCGGTGACTATTTTCCCTCCCATGCCTTACACATCATAGGTTTGAAGGCAGGTAAGTGACACCCTAGCTTCTCATGTCTTCTTTTAGAATGTCTTCATTCCCTGTCTCTTCTCCCAAAAACAATAAGTTTGACTCTCATGACATCAGATTAAACCACCCATACCTCTTGTTGTGAAAGTCACCTACTGATGCCTAGGCCTCTGTCTCTCGTTCCATGAAGATTTTATTTTTATTTATTTATTTTATAAGATTTTATTTATTTATCTGACAGACAAAGATACAGCAAGAGAGGGAACAGAAGCAGAAGGAGTGGGAGAGGGAAAAGCAGGCTCCCCCCTGAGCAGGAAGCCTGATATGGGACCCTGGAATCATGATCTGAGCCAAAAACAGATGCTTAATGACTGAGCCACCCAGGCACCCTTCCATGAAGATTTTAACCACAGACTCACAATCACCCTCTCTAACTAACCCCCCGATAGTGATTTCAATATCCACATAGCTCAGTCTTCCCAAATCATGGCCCCTTAGTTCCTTGACCTCCTCTCTTCTACCTCCATCCTATCTCAGTCATTTATTTATTTTTATTTTTTAGCCTATCTCAGTCATTTATTTTTTTATTTTTATTTTTTAGCTTCAAAGTATTTCTCCATGAAATATTTATTAATTACAAATTAATTACAAAGTCAGGAAGACAGAGGCCCCCAAGGGCCGGAGGAGGCCGAGCATGCCCACCAAGACCTCATTGTCCAAACTGGCGTGTAGGAAGGTAGAGGCTGGAATCTAGAGCTGGGGTGGGAACACGGAGATCCTGCCAGAGTTTTACTCCCCAACAAACTGCCACTCTACTTATTTCACTCTAACCTATTTATCAATAAAAGCTTTTTATCTCAGTCATTTATTGCCATGGTCATATCTCATATCTGTGACCACCAATACATTGCAAAACCTCCATAATCCCAATTTCAAATATTCCACTATCCAATCACCACTCCCTACATTTCTAGCTCTTACTTTGGCCTCCAACTCCAAAACTCCTTTTTCACTAGACTGCTAAGTTTATGGTCATCACTATACCTCACTGTTCCTCACCCATCTCATGTTTCACTTCCATCCTACTCAGTTAAAATTTAATGGTCAATCATTTCAGTTATTCTCTTGCCTCTCTCTTGATTTATTATACTCTCATACTTGCTATAGCCTTAATTAAGTCTAGCTTTCTACCTGATACATGTCCAAATCCAGAGGGCTAAATGTGCCTGGAGAAAGAATTGCTCCTCTTTAAATTCATAAATATTAATAATCTCAAGAGGGTCCTTAATGCTACCTCACAGTCAAACTCTTTTTCCTTAGACCAGACAATCTCTTTACATCCCTAGATCACTATTTCCCAGCTTCTAATCTCTTCTCAAAGCTAACATTTCCACCTTCTCTCCTTTCCATATTACTAAGAAAATAGAAACAATTAGAAGGAGACTCCTATAAGCTCCTACCACCCCACCATGGTTATTTGCAACTCTGTGCATCTACTGTGCCTCTGCTCCTCTTTCTATGAATAAATTGTACATATTTCTAGCTAGAACCACCCAACTAACATGCACGAGATTCAATTTCTGACCTACTCAATGACATTACTTCTTAAATTTTTCCTGTATCTCCTGCAGCATTTTCCCCTCTTTAGTGAGTCATTGCCATCATCACACAAGCATGTCACCTTCATATTACTTAAAAACCTACATGTCCTGACTCCATTTACCCCTCTAGATTCTACTGCATTTCTTCCTTTTAAGGAAAACTTCAAAAATTAATTAGACTCACTACCTCCCATTCTGGCTTGAACCCACTCCAGTAAGGCTTTTTGTGGTCCCTTTCCCCAGATGCTTCATGGAATGTGCATTTATCAAGGTCAGCAGTTGAATTCAATTGTTGCTAAGTTCAAGGTTGATTCTTAGCGCTTCTTTTACTTGATTAGCAGCAGCTTTTTACACTTCAGTGGATCACTCCATTCTTCCTTGAAACATTTTCTAGAGAGTCTGGCTTCCAAGAAACCATGTCCTCCTCATTTTCCTCTCTGTCACCAGCTGCTCTTTCTGTTTCTTTTGTGGATTTTTATACGCCAGAACATGCCTGCCTTGGAGACTTAGCCCTTGCTTTCTGGAATGCTCTCTCCCTCAATATCCACATGATTCAATCTTTCATCTCCCTTCCATCTTTACTCAAATATTACCTCTTCAGAGAATTTTTTTGGCCTCCCGTTCCAAAGTTGCAACACTACTATCCCCCTTTCACACTTTATTTTTCTCTTTGGCTTTTATCTCTACCTCAAGTTCTAAAAATCTTTCTTATTTATTTTGTTGTGTCCTCTATTAGAATCTAAAATTTCATGAACAGAAATTTTGATTTTTTTCATTTATTTCCAAATCTCCACTGCCCAGCAATGTTTAGAAAATAGTAAGCACCCAATAAATATTGAATGTTGAATAATGTTGAATAACCCAATAAATGTTGAATGAATGACCAAGTATACTGGGAAAAAAAAACAGATGAAACTTCTAAAGATAAAAAAAATAATTGAAATGAAACACCTAAAATCTAGATTAAAGATTAAAACATTTTTCAGAGAACAACATATTGTCAACAAAAGTAATACTCCATGGTTCATCTTAGGATTCTAGCAGAAATTTGATACTCAAACCAGCAAGGAGGGTAATAAGAACAACAAACTAATCTTCCCAAGGAAATAGATTTAAAGATCCTAAACAACATTTTATCAAACAAAATCCAGAAATGTATGAAAAATATATCATAGCCAATATTATAATTCCATTTAAATAAATTTCAAGATTAGAGCAAACTAACAATACAATCATCCTTCATTATCCAGATCTATTTGGTACCTACCTGAGTTCAAACAGTGACAGTCTGAATAATGAGTTAGGATACTTATAGGTACTTCAGTTGAATTTACTTATTTTTTTAAGGGGACATATAATATTGATTCTTTTTTTTTTTTTTTGTCTGCTGTTCTATGAATTTTAACCTATGTGTAAATTAATGTCACCATCACCACCACAATCAGGATACAGAATAGTTTCACTGTAACCTTAAAAAATTCCTTCATGTAATCCCTTTATAGTCATATGCTCCCTTAGCTCTCAATCTTTGGCAACCACTGATCTGTCTCCATCACTAGAGTTTTGGGCTTGTTTAGAATGTCACAAAAATGGAATCATATAGAATACAATCTTTTGAGACTGGCTTCTTTCACTCAGAAAAATAACTAAGTGGTGTCTGTATCAACAGTTCATTCCTTTTTATTGATGAATATGGGTTTACTACAGTTTGTTTATTCATTCACACATTGAAGGGCATTTAGGTTGTTTCCAGGCTTTGGAGATTATAAATAATGTTGTTCTAAATACTCATGAGTTTTCGTCTACATGCACGTTTTCATTTCTCTCAGATAAATACCAAGGAGTGGGATTTCTTGGTCATATGGTAAGCATTTGTCTAACATTTTCCAGAGTAGCTGCATTTTTACCTTCCACCAGCAGTGTGTGAGAGTTCCAGTTTCTCCATAACCTCAGTAGCACTAGGTATTGTCAGTATTTTTTATTTTAATTATTCTATAATTTGGAAAGCAAATAACTATATTTTGATAATGAGGGAAGTACCTAAAATTTTATCTTAACTTATTTGGTTATTTGTTTAGGTATAAGGGACACATGCCTATGTGGTTAAAATTATGAAGAAAAGCAACAAACTGATAAGGATAAGAGTAGATAGTGGTACTTGTGGTGGAAAGGGAGGCAGATGTCATCCATTAGGCTCACGAGGGGCTCTAAGATACTGATGAAACATTATTTAGGAGGCAGGGTGGTGGACATGGGTGGCCTGTTTTAGTATTATATCTGAAACTATATCCATGCATTTGATATACCTCATAATTAATTTAAAAAATGTTTGAGCATACAAAACACACAAAATCCTCAAAGTAATTCAGAAAAATATACTAAAACCATTTCTTTTCAGAGTTCAAGTACAGTAAGTTAGAAACCTAAAAGCATTTTGTAGAATTTGAATGTAAGACTTTCTTAAAGCTTGTTTAAAACTAAAATACTTTCTTTAATATATCTATGCTTGTGTACATCTCATAGGTCAAATTGCTGATGGGCTATCCAGTTCATTAATGAACTTGTTTCTTTCCAGAAGCCTCAACCTGTACACAAAAGGGCTGGGCATGGTAAAACAATTCTGAGTCACTGGCAAAGAGTAGCTTCTGAAAACCATGACCAGAACTTGACTTTGTTTAAGAAGCACATTGAATGTATCATCTTTACTAGTCACAAATTCTTAGACACACCTCAGGGCACAATCAAGACTATACAACCCTTCAGCAGACTTTTCCTATTGCCACCAACATTTGTAAGGAGAATGTTTACCTGTGACAACACTGGGAATTTTGGAGAGAAAGCTCTTGACTGTTCTGATGGGCACACCACCTGTCTTGTCATCTTGCATCTTCGTAATGATGTCTTCGATCTGAAAGAGGATAAAGAAGTGTCATTTCCTCCCATAAAGTAATAGTTTATTAATAGCCAAAATGAACATGTATGAACAATAGCAATAAAAAAGGGCCTCCACCTAGACAGACAATAAACACAGTAGCAGGATCTGTAATAAACCAAGCACTGGGGGTGGGAGGGAGGCCATGAGGTTATATATAACAGCATAAAGTGCAGTCTCTAGAAGAACAGACACCTAGATAAACAAGGCAAGGAGGGAGAAATATTAGGATTCCTAATGAAATCCAACTTGTAATTCAATATGCAATGAAACTCCTCCTTTTCCTAGATTTGGTTTATATATAGGCTGAACAGTATGAGGCACCTGAACTTTGGGACCAGTGCAGGATCCAGGCAGAGTCACACAGGAGAAAAAGAAATACTATAAATTAAGACATGAAAAGTTCTAATCCAGAGAAATTAGAGGATAGGTTTCAGTGGATGATTGTGATGGTGTGAGGGTGATCACTTTACACCAAGATTAAAGTGGAACAAGGACAGAATCTTCCCCTTTTGGACTAAAGAAGACCACCACAGCCATGGTGGGCTGTGGCTTGAACCCAGTGAGATTTTACTAATAAAACAAGATATTAGGTATGTATGTTGAACACAGAGCTGAGAGAGAAGATAGACTACTAAGGATGTAGGTGCATAAATTGGGAAACCAATTTGTAGCGAAGAATTTACAAGCCAGATGTAATTTTCTGTGCAGAAAGATTTAGAATAGGATACAGAACAATCTGTGACAAGGACATAGATCTTATTGTTTGGGGAGTTGGGGGGTAGAGGGCACCGGGAAAGGGGCAAAGATGATGCTTGACTTTACCACAGATCTCGCTCCCCTAAGCAACAGAATATCTGTGAAACACAAGGGTGATCCTCTGAGCAGTGCCATAAAAGTTGCACATAACTTTAAGCCCAGAAAGCTAAAACTCTAGTCTATCTAGTCTAACCTACTTGTATTGCAATTTGAGGTTGAATTTCTCAAAGTTACATGGCAACTTGTTTGATAGATATGAATAAGTCATTAGAGACTAGGTTAGGATATAGAATAACTTAGTAATAAGATATAATAGCTAAAATATATTAAGAATTTACTGTGTGCTAGGTGTTATTCTAAGTACATGCACATATTATCCTATTTAATCTTCATGATTACTTCACAAGCTAGATTCCACTGTTATCCTCATTTTTCAGATATCAAACCAGGGTGGATCGGGTCAAGTTATTCTAAAAAATAACCTTCAAAATCACAATGGCTGAGTATAACCAATTTATTTCTTTTCTCTTGCTTCAAGTCTGTCATGGGTCACCAGGGGGACTCTGCCCATTGTGATTACTCTGGGACCCAGGCTGATGGAACAGCCACCATCTTGAATGCTGCTCATCATTGTTCTAGAGGGACAAGAGAGAATTCTGGAGAATCTTGCATTGATTATTAAATGTTATAGCCAAGAAGTTATATATAACACCTTTGTTCACAATTCTTTAACCAGAGCCAATTATATGGCACCACCCAACCACAAAGGAGCCAGGGGGTCAAGTTTTCTGGGTCCCGGGAGGAAAGGGGAACCAACAATCTGTGAGCAGCACCAATGACCACTACAGAAGTTAAACGACCTTCTTAAAGTCACACAGCTACCCAGCTGAGTTTAAACACAGTCACAGACCTCAGAGCTCAGGTTTCTAACCCCTGTGCTGGGCTGCCACTCAGTAAGATTCTCAGAAAACCAGCCAAGCAGAAAGACCACTTTCCTCTGGTTATTTCTAGGTTTTCCTGAGAAAGCACTGATAATGAGAAAGAATCTTAAGCTCCTGGCCCTTTAAGGAGTGGATGGATATATCAGGCTGAGAATAAAGGTTATTCTCTAAAGATCTGCATTCTGTTAAAAGACAGGATAAGAAGACTTTTCATCCACATTCATGTTAATCGTCTCAGCTTGTGTCCCTACCTTACTGCCCCTAAACTTAACCCGATGATTTAGAGTAGTCTGAGTATTCCTTACTGATAGTCAAGGAGAATTATTCCTAGAAAAAAAAAATTATCATATTTTCAAAGTACTCTATGCTTTTGATCTGGTGGGCTATCTGAAACCACATATATCAGTTACATTGATGCTTTTTATAGAATGGACTCAAAATCATTGGGAATTGGAGGGAAGCCAATATTTCAATTCACTTAGACTCCTGACTTGCCATTAGATGATAATAATTTTGAGTCTCTGCTGATATGGGCTGGATTTAAGGACTGGCTGTGCAGAGGAATGTTCCACAATTCTTTTCTTCCATGCTCTGTGTAGTCATTTCATCACACCACTGAATCTTAAAAGGGAGTATTTATTAAAGAAGATCTATTTTCTCATGTGGGCTCACAGTGTGCCAAGAGGTATATTATTTATCAGAGGTTACAGTAGGATCAAAAGGACAACCCCTTTAAGTGACCAGAAAAGCAATTACCTTGTAGCAATAGTTTACAACACCAGAGGTGTTGAAGAATGTTCATTGGTCCCCAATTTTTGACTCCTCCACAGTATTAATATTTACCCAATTCCATGCCCTGGCCTCAGAGTGGGCAGAAAGTCTGCCCCTGGACTTATGGGCTTGGCCATGTGACTTGCCTGGCTAATGGGAAGACACAGAACATGGTAGGAGCAGAGGCTTTCAGTGTACCTGCATGGTCATGCTCACCTTCTTCTCTGGGCTTCCTGTCTCAGACAGTTGTTCCAAGGTTGCGGGGGGGTTGGTGAGAGACATCTGGAGCAGAAGGGACCCTACCTGCAGCTAGATAGGTGAAGCCTCAGTTGACCTGCACACTCAGGAGCTTATTGTTATATACCCCTGAGTTTGGGTGGTTTGCTAGGCAGAAAAATTGTGGCTCTAGTTTGTTGATGCAATGGGGCTTTAAAATAAAGGCACCTATCAAAAATCGCTGAAGCCACACAAACCCTTAGCAGTAAGAATCAATGAGTCCTAGAGGTGGGGCATGCTAACATCCAATGCTATTTAAGGATGCAGAAATTCCAATTATACCATCCACCATTTACTTAAAAATTCTCAGGGCCTCTACTCTTCTGTAGCCCATTCTGTTGTGTTAGGAAAATTTTGTGATAGCTGAGTTTGATTCTGGAACATGGTCTTGTGCAACATCAGTTAATAATACTACCCCTGAATTATTATTATTATTATTATTATTATTATTATTATTGGTCCTGGTTTCTGATGAAATGCCAAGAGTACAGACCTACCTACCAAAAAATCCAAAGTGGGCTCCCGGGGGATTATATAAATTACAACGGCAAACATTTCAGAACGTGTACATCTGATCAACACTGCCCTTGGTATTGTTTTAAATAAGTGATCTAATTTATTTCTCAGTCTTAAAAGTTACTTAGTAAAGATGTTGAAATTAGGCTGAGAAAGGTTAGATTTCTCCATGAACAAAATGGCTAATAAGTGGCAAAGTCTTGTACTCTAAGCCCCGAGCTCTTGTACTCTAAGCCCCAAGCTCCAACAAATCCAAGATTCACCTTATTTTCAACCAGTGTCTGCTGACATGCTCTTCAGATACAAGGCACTTAATACCGTTTGCGCTGAAGGGGAAGTTCAGCTCAGTCATAAGGGGGTGGAGAAGGAAACAGAGAAATCAATCCAGATAATCAGATTATCAACCATCTCAGGATTTATTTTGGTCCAACAACGGCTGATGCCTAGCTGCTCTGTGTTTTTCTCTTTTCCTGGAGACTTGGTGAGATTTCTCCTCTACTGGTAGATCACAGCTCCAGGGACTGGGGAGACGGGAAGGTATCTACTTATATTTTCTTGGCTATTCAGTCCCATCTAACTTTTGACACCTTTTGTTTCTGGAGAAGAACAACAGCAATTCCTTGACACCGTTTAATACGGAGCTGTGTGTCATGAGGGAGAATGTCGGACCTAAGTTTCCCTGGGCCAGTCAATATGAGGTGGCCCTGATTTAGCAGCAAGTGATGCAGAAAACCTCCTTGGCCAGCTCAGCAGGTTCTGCCAGGATGAGTCCCAAGAACCAGGACAACCTCCTAAAAAGGAGCTCAAAACTCAGCATTGACAGGCAGATAGAACTTTCTTCCAAACAGCAGGACAGATGGAAATCATTGCACCACAGGGTAGACTTCCTTGGAACTGAGGAATGTCATGAGACAGTAGACGGAATTCTCTGATGGAGCTGTGGGGTATAAGAGAGGGGTGAGGAGCAGCGACCACCTCTCCACAAAGTGAGGCCATAGCAGGGGCGCAGGAAGAACGCAGGTCAGAGGCCCGGGAGAAATGCTAGCCTCAGCTTCACTGATTTTCTGTGTCGACCCTGGAGAAGTAAACTCTCTGGACTTTACTGCCTCATCTCTACAGTGAAGAGCCTGGTGTCTAAAATCAGATCTCTAGTTCTAAGACATGAGAGGCTTCTCTGGCTTGACAAATGCAAAGCTGTCTGTGAGGAAAGGAAAGGACAGGACAGTCAGTCGGGCCTCTGGGTCCCCATTCTCCATGCTGCTCACCTTCCAGGTGGCTCCGTGCAGAACCCTTCCTGGGCTGAGGCACAAGGTGGTGTGCTGAGCAGGACTGGGGAGTTTTGATGCTTTCAGAAATCATTTTGGATAAATGGCATTAGAAGCCAGAGACATGATCCAAAGAGGCCCTGACACTGCTCCTTATTGATCGGTCCACGCTCGCTCATCTCTGCTGATACAGATGGCCCTCCTAACAGAAATGACTAAGGGCCAATATTAGTTTTGTGTGTGTAAATTAATTATCTGGTGAACTGATTTATTTAGCTTGTCCAATTTTTCCTCAGTGGAAGATTAAAAAACTAAGAATAGCGAAACTATATTGCCATTATTAAACCATAAGAGACTCTTAATCTCACAAAACAAACTGAGGGTTGCCGGGGGGAGGGGCGTAAGGAGAAGGTGGTTGGGTTATGGACACTGGGGAGGGTATGTGCTA